TCTCTAAATGCACACCCTTGGGACTAGTGATGCTGACATAACGTTTTAACATTACTATGTTTTGGGTTTTGTAACATAAAACTAGTATATACTAAAGTTAATAATGTTAATTAAAATTAAACTACTGTTATTATCTAATTAAGAGTCAACGATATAATATACATATTAATTAAATTTATTATCAAATTACGATATATACAGTACGTATAGTTGTATAGTGTGTATATATAATATACACAATACACGTGGCATTTATAAATAAATTATATTTAACATTTTTTTTGCAAGGAACAATTCTTGTTAGATACATACGTACGTAATTATGATATAAACGACCCTGTGATTACATAATCATTAACTATAAATACTAATACTGCCTGTTACACACGTAAGTCTTCAACCTTAAAAATCATGCCAGAACGCTATTTGAAAAATACTTTAACACTTCCTAATATTAACGATTGCGACCCTGCAAAAATCGACAAATTTATTAGATACGGTGTTGAAAAAATTCTTTCTAAATTTCCAGCCACTTATGATAGTCGTTACTATGATGTGTTTGTTGGTAAAAAAAAAACAATTATACCTAGTAATAAATAAAAACTTTGTAATCTGTAACTATAAAGCCAGTAAATCTAATTACAATTATTCATAATTCTTATAAATTATTAGGATACGGAGGAATTGCTTTCATGTTTTTTCATTTATATCAATTGTTTCCTGATTTAACAATCGCCGGAGACAATGTATCTCTTTTGTGTTCCACATATCTATCAGCTTCTTTATCTGCAGTCCAAAATAGTTCTCCAAAACACGTAGGATTTATAGGTAGCCATATAGGACCACTGGCCTTGGCCGTTGTAGTTTATGAAACCATTGAAAAAAACACTCCTGAATCCTTGAAATATCTTGACACTATTCTTGATAAATATCATTCATTATCGTTACAGGAAGATTCAAATGAATTACTATATGGTCGAGCTGGGTATCTTTATGCTTTGATTTTCATTCGAAAATATTGTAAAGATAACGAGGAAATTATGTCAAGAATTAGAAATGATAAATTAAAAGAAATTATCAAGCTAATCATTAAAGATGGCAGAGATGGTGCAAAACGAATTACAGATTTGATGACTATTAATGATAACGTTACGAAACCTGCCTTAATGTGGAGTTGGCATAATTCAGAATATATTGGTGCCATACATGGTGTTGGTTTGTATGCATATAAATTATATTTATTTCTTTAAATAGAAAATATCCCTTTCTTTATCTTTTTATTAAAACTTTTAATAAAGCCGGAATCATCACTACCATCCTCCAATGTGGTGAATTAGCTCTCCCTTACATGGATGAATTATTTCAAACAATTGAATGGCTTATAGGAATAGTTCAAATGGATAAAAACTATCCTGCACGCATACAATCAACTCACGATGACCTTATTCAGTAAGCAACATACACTCTTCCCTCGTTATAACGGAGTGATCGGGCTGGAAAATTTCATCCGTTATAATTAATATTGATATAGCATCATATATAGTATAAAATTACTCCGTTACAATAAGAAATATGCTTTAACGGGGTCCGTTATAATGAGGATAGAGTGTAATATATAAATCTATTATAGTATTAATTATCTTTTCTTATATGATATTTATTAAATAGGTTTTGCCACGGTGCTCCAGGAATAATTATTTCCCTTTTAAAAATTTATTCTTTATATCCAACTCATACTTCATCTAAGAATATTCTTTCGAATGCAATTTCTAAAATTTATTTGGTCTGGGAGCGTGGAATTTTGAAAAAGGGTGTAACAGGTCTTTGCCATAATACTCTTGGTAATGCTTATACTTTTTTATTGGCTTATCTTGTTACGCATGATGAAATTCAATTTAAAAGGGCATTAGCACTTGGTTTATATGGAGGTGAATGGGAAATAGAAACCCATAGGGGTGAAGTGCGAGTTCCTGATCATCCATGGAGTCTTTTTGAAGGTCTTAGTGGTGGTGTGGTTTATT